AAGATGCGGGACATATAAGTTGAAATATAAGCAGTGAAAAAAGCATTCAAAAACACACTACCTTTTCCATTTTCATACAGGAGAAACTGCTACCATTAGAATATTCCACTGCGAAAATGTTGTTAAAGGACACGGGATAAAATATGTACAGCCTAGCTTTAAGGAAAAAAAAAAGTCCTGAACTTTCTCTGCAATCCAAATTATCCTTATTACTTTAATATTATGCATTTTCTGCTAGAAGAAGTTGCCCCCTCACTTTGCAGGGAGTAATAAATGTTTTGCTGGCATTTATAATGTTGTCTCAAGAGCATATACACATTAAAACATTCATATAATTGTTTATCCCTTCTGTATGCAGTAAAGTAGCTAACTAATTAATAAAGCTCTGAGAGAATTATTTTCACGAGGTGTCTCTTTGGCTTGCTGTCCCCATCCTCTGTCCATATTAATGTATTGGGGATTAGCTTTTCAACTGGAATAGCATAGCTAAGGTGGTACCAGTCCCTTGATTTGCAACAATTAGTATGTGATCATTTCTGGAGTTCACTTTGCAATTCTTCATTTCGTATTTTTTATTTAGCAGTCCACATGTAAGTAGAGAATTACTGAGGCCTAATGGATTTAGAAAACAAAAATTGTATCTCATTGTATATACGTAGTTTGTGAACAGAACTCTAAACAGAGAGAACCAGAGTTTCTCATCTTCACTACAGCTCATTCATCTTCTTTTCCTGCTCTATTTCCAGACACTTTTATAACTTTTCACACCTTTCAAGTAGGAGACTCTTCATTGTGACTTGAACTGGTGAATTATCAATTAGAGAATTTTTAAGGTAGGGGCCAAATCACAAATTTCAGAGCAGAGTTCTTCAGGCAATCCATTAAATATATACTTTCCCATCACTGCATATTCATATAGAATATTCCTGAATCATATCTTATGGCTCTGATTTATGTATGTAAGTATTTATAATGGTAAAGCTAAAGTCAAAAACACATTTTGTTTTTGCTGACTACATCTTTGCTTGCAGATTATATACTTAATTTCATTTTATTGTTCTTCATCCAGTAATGTCCATGTGTACAATTATCTATTAGATTGTTGGCTGATCGTATTTACTATACACATTGAATTTCTTGGCAGAACTGTTTAGTCTGCCTTCTGCTTCCTTTGGCACACCAAGGCCAAATTTCCCCATTAATCCAGATGATATATTATATCCAACATTATTATTCCAGTCTAGTAAATTCATAGGACTTCTTTTTGATGCTGTATTAAGAAGGTACTACAAGTGATCAAAGAACAGTTCTGCTTCTGCATCTGTATTAACAACTGCGTCTGTTAACAGCAGCATGAATAGTGCTAGTGATCGTTTAATCTCCCTTTGGGGGAGATGGACGGCATACAAATTTAATAAATAAATAAATAAATAAATAAATAAATAAATAAATAACTCACTCACTCACTCACTCACTCACTCACTCACTCACTCACTC